AAACTGTTTACAGATTTTTCTGTTGCGAATTATTAGAAAAAGTTATTATACTTAACCCTGATAAAACAGATTAGATCCCCAGTTGAAATTAGATTGGAGGGTTTGTATCGATTTGGTCATAACATGTGAATCTCGGTTCTTCTATAATTTGATTTTAGTTTCTCTGTTGGGAGTCTGTTCTGGTTATAAGTGACTAAGAATGAAGATAATGTTTTTGGTTATAGCCTTTTATAGCCAGTAAAGTGACACAATGATCTTGCGGGCCAGTGATAAAGTTGATGTTCAGACTTAGATATTGTTTATAATGAAGTTATGTAAATGCTGGCATTAGATGGTAGGAAATGATTGTGTTCGTTTCAGACAAAAGGTTGAGCTCTTACAGACAAGAAGGTTGAGTGTTGCCATCAATTTTTTTTTTTTTTTGACTTTGTTTATTGGCTTGTTATGTTGGTTTGATCTGTTGATTAGTTTGGTTTGTTTGTGACATTAATTAAGTGATTTTGTTTAGTTAACTTGGTAAGTTAGAGTGATCTGTTGGTTGGTTGTTTGGTTTGATTTTTTGGTTTCATTTATTAAGTGATTTTGTTTAGTTAACCCATTACTTCATGAGCATTTTGTGAAAAATGGCTGTTTTCATTGAAAAGCCTCCTGTTAAAAGTTCAAATTGCTATGAAACTGTAAAAAAGAAGGCTTCAATACTGTTGAAACTTGGCACAAATGTTGACTGGACTGTGGCCTTTGTAACGGCATACTCAATCTTAAATTTCCTGTTACCATGGTGATTTTGTTTAGATAACTTTGTAAGTTAGTATGATCTGTTGGTTGGTTGTTTGGTTTGGTTTGTTGGTTTCATTAAATTATTTTGTTTAGTTTGCTTGGTAAGCTGGTTTGATCTGTTGGTTTGGTTGATTGGTTGGTTTGTTGGTGTCATTAATTAATCGATTTTGTTTAGTTAACTTGATAAGTTAGTATGATCTGTTGGTTGATTGATTTTGTTTGTTGGTTTCATTAAGTGATTTTGTTAAGTTTGCTTGGTATGTTGGTGATGGTCATGTTCAACAATGTTCATGTATAGTTTGATGGTGAACACATGACAGCTTGTAATTGTTCAAAAAGTTCATTTCTCATTTGAAATAATGAGCTGAGCCAACAAATTACCAATGAATTAATTCATTTCTTTGACATGATAAAATTTACTGAAACAAAAAAACAACTCAAAATACAGCTAGAGAAATGACCTATGTTTAATAATTTTTATAGTTTCACCAGTTGTCTCACTAGTTAATGTTGCTTTACCAGACAAGTTTGTATTCATTTCAAAAGAAATATGCAGATAGACAGTTGGCTGTGATTTGTACTGTTGAATAATTTGAAAATTGTTTAAAATTTGCCAATTTTGGAAATTTTAGACATTTTGACTGCATGAATAGGAAACGAATACCAAGTTTAACAGGAACGATGTTTAATTTTTCTCAGGCAGTGGCTCTTTAGTTAGGTTTAGATTTATACAGTGTCTGCTTATTTTCTAATTTGTGTCCACAAAATGAAACTTTTTGACGCCTTCTAGAAATAAGAGATTATTTTTTTCACCAAATCTGAATAACTCATTAAAATTATGCAGTCTGAAACAAAAAGACTTTTGTTCCTAGGAAAAGTATTTCAGATTCTGACAGTAGTTAATTACCCAGTTTATGCCATTTGGGGATTCCAGCAATCCCTCAAATCTCACAAACTCACACACACAAATAAGGCCAAAAAAAATTATTTTGACAATATTATAAACTCTTTCTCTTTTAACTTTAATTAATGCACTCTTTTTGGAAAATGTAACATCGCTGGGGGTTAAATTAAATTTTGATATTTTTGTAGTAAAATCCTATGTATAGACAGTTACAAATCAAAGAAATAGGAAGTCCATTTCACCAGTCAGTGGTCAAAGAGTTATATTGTTTTCTATATTGGCTTTTTTTCTGGACAAAGTTAAGTGCTTGACAAGATTAACATGAGTTTTACATTTGCAACAAAAGTATTTAGTACATCAGAGAAACTCTATCTATTGTATTGCCAATTTTATGTAATTTTATGTATTTTATGTTGAGTGCAATCATGGAATAAGAATTTCGTATTTGTCTTCTGAATTTCTTCACTTTCTATTATAACAATACTGCAAATTTTGTTTTTCTAAAAAAACTTGATTGTAAGCTTACAAAGTCTAGACGGGGCCCCTGGCTGCTTCGGTAAAAAAAAGAAGAAAAAAGACAAACCCTGTGAAACGGGAATTTGTTACCAGTAATTCCTCTTCCAATTTCTTCATTTGGTGTAATCTTAGTGGCTCCGAAATTACAGGGTTGTCGGAAGCTTTCAGATTGTATTTTATGGCTCGCTTCTGGAGACACCAGTTTCCTTCTATATTCTATAATGACCATTGATTTCAAGTAAACATCACTATCAGGAAATATGTTAAGCTTCATTATTTCTGTGGTAATTTCTTACTGCAATAAAATATTGATATATCAGAATTAAGGCACCGCCAAATAAGTTATTATTGAGCCATAAACAGTGCTAGTTATTTGCTGAATAAATAAGAAATCAATAAATGGCTAGTAGAAGAAAGTACAAAATAAATTCATTAATTTTTGCCATATGCTCACTAATAGATAGCTTGTTTAGTCACTGAATTGCCAAGTATCATAGAATCGTTACTGTCAGCGTATCTCCGGGAAGAAATATCTTTTCATTTCATTAAATATGAAAGCTGATATGTTATATTACTAATATATATTTTTTTATCAACAGAGAAATAAGTGCACATGTATAATAAAAGAACATGCTCCATGAACAGTAATAATTGTGTATGTTGTGACAATAGATGAGCTTTTTCTGTCATTTTTATTGTGTCACATATTGTAACATTTGTTAATTTAGGATTGCATTATTCAATTTGAATGGTAACAAGCCCTGTACTGCCAAGCCCTGGTAACTGGAATGAAGGGGGAATGAATTTTCCTTACTACAAATAGCCTCATTTATACCAGAAAAAAAAACAAAACAAAAAAAAACAAAAACAAAACAAAACAAGTAACTTGTTTGCTACTACAGATAGTGGCACACTTTGACAATGGGTATGAATATGCCAGAAGGGTTTGGCAATTTACTGGAGGGTTGTGAAAAAATTTTGCTATTGAAATGTAAGTTTATACATGTATCCGAATCTAAGAGAGGTTTGACATACTAGCCAAATTCCAAGGGGGTCATGATTCGGTCATCCCTAACCCCTGCTCTCAATCTGCACATGAAAAGAATAGTTTTCTAGCTTATATCACATTATTTCACTATTTTTTGTTATACTTTTAACACTATCAAAATGGAAGATGTTTCCAATATGTAGAAAATGAAAAAAAAAACAACAACAGAACATCATAAAAGCATGATAAAAGTTGTATTTCTTTTAATATTACGAATATTATTTTTTAATTTCAGAAATACATCAAGACAAACAATTGGTCCAAGAATTAAACATCGAAAGACCTGATGTAGTGAAAATCATTCCAATAGAAACAGACTCCAAGGATGTTCATACAAACATTCTTCTTAAAGACGTTGAAACACAACACAATCCAAACGATATAGATGTTACATTGGAGGGGAAAATTTTACCCGACATTTCTAGTCAGAAAAATTCACCGGAACAGAATCTTGTTTTAAACAATGTGAAAGAAAATTCAAAACAGTCAGAGAGTGAACTGAAGAAAGTGACATTCGGGGAAGGAGAGATAAAAGAAATAAAAGGTGTTGATTTTGACCCTGTTACTGCTGATTCGGACGATAAGAATTCTAGTCCACATTCTATTAAGATCGTAACTTACGATCAAACACCCGAAGCACCAACTCTTGAAACAGACAATTTACTCAACTCTGAAACATCAGGTAATAATGAAAATCTTAAGAATCTTGTGCCTAATCATTTACCTGCGTACACTCAGTTAAACAGTGGTGCCATTAGTGGGGAAAAGTGTGACGAGTTCTCTTGTTTAAATGATGGGAAATGTGTGGACGATGGAACCATTTACAGGAACAAAGTTAGATGCGATTGCAAACTTGGCACCATTGGATCTAAATGTGAAAAAGGTAAATGCTTAAATAATGAAAACTCTGCTATTGAATCTTTAACCCTCAACCTTCTGAATCTGGAAGTTATTATAAGTCTTTGCCATCAGTTGAGAGTAAATTTTGGACCGGCTGTTCCAAACTCAAAGCTTGGAAAATCCTTTTCATAGATAAATCCATTACATCAGACTTTTGGTGGTTCTACTCAGGTGCACATTAGTGACTTTAGTAATGCATGAAAGGGCAAATAATGTCTTCCTCCACCAGTAAAGCTGAAAAGTCACCATATATCTTATACTGTGTCGGTGCAACGTAAAACCGAACCATTTAATTCAACAGGTTAAAGGTCAGAGAATTATCGGTGTACAGAGGTGGATGATGTCAAATTATCTGCTTGGTAGTTGGTATCATAGGTTATTCAGGGCATTCTCTAGAAACAACGGTTGGAGTATTAAGGCATTAGTTGATTATTGAGAAAAGACAAATGTCGGAGTAACAGTAATGATAGTCTGTGTAGCGACTTTCTGATGAAATTTCAAACCTTAATTAAGTTAAGGCAGGAAAATGTTCTAATTGGATCGCAATCACTTGTCAAGCTTTTTAGAATTGTTGAATTTTAAGGAAGGAAAAAAAAGTATGGTATGTCGGGGAGACATTACGACTCTGAAAATAAGGTTTTATCCTTTTTACCAGGTTTTTATATCAGCAAAACAAATTTTAAGACGTCTTATTTTGTCTTAGTAATGTAATAACAAAAAATTGTATTTTTGGTGGGTTTGATAATTGACATCTCATGATTGCTTTGTTTCAATGCAGAGCAACAAAATAATTTGTTTTTTTCTGCAAAACTTTACAGTACTTGCCAGCACTCTAAAATTGGACATATTAAAAAAAGTAGTCACACTTTCTGCTAAAGACAAGGTTGTCTGTCCAATCATGTATTCTAAAATTGTTCTTTATATTTGTGACTTTACTTTTAGATAGTCTTTGCACAGTTCAAACAGTATGTGCAGGGCCTGTACCTGCTGGAATTGAGTGATTAGCCTTTGTCTTCAATATAGAGCCAGACCACAGCCTGCACACCTGTGTTGTCTGACCGACTCTATACTTTTAGTAGTTCAATTTTTTGTATGAGTGATATTGAAATGCTTTTAATCTGGAATGGACTGTTCCAAATTCAAACCAGTGCAAATCCATTACACAAATATAGCAGGTTGATGGTTCAATAAATTACCGGTACAGAATTTCAGTTATGCAGATATATTTCAGCTAAAAAATTTTAGAAAAAAATAAAAGGCTTCTGTAACAAAACACTATGTTATATTTATTACAAGAGATAAAGTTTTACTTTAGAGATAGATATCTTAGAATAAGTTTACTTTATCTTCATTAGGATTGTATGTCATAAAATGCTGTTAGTGTCGTAGCTTATTTCCCAAGAGTCGCCATTTTTAGTACCGTATAGCGTGCTTCCCTATAGTTTGTCAACATCATCTTTTCAGATGATTTCCTATAATTGTATCTCAGACAGCTAAATTTCTAACTTTATGGTGCTTTTACAATGTACAATGGACCGAACGGTAAATTTGCTAAATATTTTTCACATAAATAATGGAAAATAATGTGAGAAAAACAAATAATGTTAACCCGCCTATCACATGCTGAATTATTTAAGCAGGCAAGGAATTGTAGAATATTTTGAGGAGATTTTTTCAAAATTTTGTGTATGATCATAAATGGACGATTTCACTACTTTTCGTAGTTAAAGTTATTAAATTTGAAGATAATTTTTGCCTTTACTTTTATTTAGTAAAATTTTAAATAAGCATCCTTAAATCTAAACCAGTGGATACCTTCAGCTTCCATTTTTGGATATGTCAATAAACAGTTTCCGAGATATCAAGATGAAAAACTGTTAACAATACAGAATTTAGTCAGATCCCACAAATGTATTGCTATACTATTGGTGTTATCCTGAACTCTGCAAATGTTGGTTTTTCCTATCCCAGGGTACAAATGGCTACATCATGCACTACTGTTAACTTTAGTGTGATCACTAATTATCAATATATTTACAAAGTTGTAACTTTGTACTAAGAAAACGACACATTTTCAGAGTTCCAGAGTATCTCTTTTGGCAAAGGTCAGAAACTAAAGGTTCCAGCCAGTAATGTATTAAATCTTGCAAATTGTCTCAATTATGTTTCTTAGAGCAACAAAAGTGTGGGTTATACAAGAAAAAATTGAAGCATTAGGAATGCCTTTATATACATTGTAATTGGCTGTAACTTAATGTAAAATATAAAGTACCAAATTATTTCATTAACATTGGAGTATAGCAAGGCAGAAGGAGCAAAGCACAACCATGTTTCTTACTTCTTATATTTGATGCTCCAATTACATAATGATTTATTAATTTCCATCAAGTTATGAGTGATTTATTTTATTTTACAGAAGTGGATATTCGTTACCCTCGTTTTTATGGAAACAGTTACCTAGCACTTCCTGTATTGAAGAATGGTTACAAAGAGATGAATATATTTCTTGAGTTTAAACCCACAGGGCAGTTTGGTTTACTCTTGTTCAGCTCGGAGTTTGAGGACGCTAGGTCGGACTTCTTCTCCATCGCTCTAATTGATGGGTACTTGGAGTTCAGGTGAGATTTCTGCAATTTATCTTAAAGGGAGCTCCACTTAAGTCCAAATGCCTGCTTTTATTAAACTTACATTATCTGGTACACTTAAAACTGAAAAATATGCAAAATACATTAAAGAAATATACTCAGATTAAGTAATTTTGCAATTTCAAGCTACTTTTGAATTAAAAAGTGTTAAATGTTTTTTCCATTTTTGGGTCATTTTCCTCAAATTAAATGATTATTCTGGAAAAAAACAGAGTGAGTGAAGGATCTGAATCTTTGCACACAGGCAATTAGTTGAGACCTCCATCAGATGATACACAAACTGTCAAAAAAATATTTTGTTACATACCAAAACCTCAGTGGCGTCTCTTAATTAAATGGTTATTCAGTGTACTTGTGTACTGCTTTAAATAAGGAATTGTTCAGTGTTTGTTTGTGTTTTTCAGTAAAAAAATTTAGAATTGATTATTGCACTCTTGCTTTGACTCTTTGTTTATTGTAAAGGACTGTCTGTATAGAAGTTAAATTTGCATTTACATGTATAGGGTTAATTGATTAATACATTTTATAATTAGTTAATTGATTTTACATGTGATATTGATCATGTGATCTTAAGTTTTCTTTAAACTATTGCATGATTTCTAGTGCTAAACATGTTTCATTAAGGACAGTGGTCTTAATTATGTTGCCAATTAGGTTTGAAATAAAAATTGAACAAAAAAATGCAGACACACTCCGCTCAGCTTCAAAGAATGGTTTTACATCAGTGAATGCCACAGCAGAAACAATACATAACAGTTGATTTTCTTTCATCAATATTTTAGTTAGAGAAATAAAAGGAGAGCTAGAAATAGTAAATAATTGTTTGTCTGTTACAGATATGACTGTGGAACAGGTATGGGTGTTGTTAGGTCATCAAGTCCTGTTGTCATGGATACATGGAACACTCTAAGGATTCATAGACAAGAAACCATGGCAACCATGTGGCTAAATGATGAACAACCAGTTCAAGGGTCATCACAGGTATAAGACAGTGGTCATTGTTAAAGAACCTTGTACCAGCCTGCATAGCTCCTTCGGTTAGAGTTTCAAGACTTGTAGGTTTGATCATCAGGCTTGTCAACTATAATTACTAATCAGTCTTTTGGATGAGCCTTTAAATCGAGGTCCCATGTATAAGTGCTTAAACACTTGGCACACTAAAGAACCAGAAGTTTCTGGAATTGCTGTATCATTCTGTATCTTGCACTAACCTCCAAAATGTAAAATAACTAATACTATTCTGGAGGACTCGCTGGTAACCAGTAAAAATAAACTCAAATACACACACAAAGAACTTCTTTATTTATTTATTTATTTATTTATTAAGCTCTGTGACTAAAATAATGAGCTATTTATCTACTACAGTGTAACCCCGACATAGTGGCCATCTGTAGAGCAATTTACCTCTTTACAAAAACAGTATCAATTCTTCCATTGTAAGATTTCACATTAGTTTGAACCTCTCTATAGTAAAACCTCCCAGCATCAACCAAAGTCTTTGTCTCTCAAAGGGTGTTGCTTTGCAGAAGTTTCACTGTAATGTCCCCTGAGCTATTGAAGTTATGAAAATGTTCAATATTATAAATGTAGTATATACATGTACGTGTTCTACATGAAATTGTTTTCAGTGCACACTTTCCATCAAACAATTTCTTTGTCACAAAACATTTGTTATTCTAGAAACAGCAAATATAATTTAAATACTTTAGTTTTGGGAATATGACAGGATATGGTTGCTGTCAATTCATCATGTTGTATGGAAATAATTCAATTTACAGTAGTTTACATATTTCAAAACAGATGCTCCCTTGTTCTGTTAGACAAGAAAACATAGCTATATGTAATTTTTGCAATGCATGTGTCTGACAAAATTTAACTTATTCAATTTCCTGTACAAAACTTGTGAAAGCAATTAAGTTTTAAAATATACAGCAAGTATAGGATCTGAGCTAGAAATACAAAAAAAACCCAGTTTTTAAGTTCAAAACTGTCTGGAAAACTGTTTTAATTTGAAATGTAATATTTTGTAACCTAGCAACAGAAAAATAACCAGAAAAGTTTTTCAAATGTCGGCCATATTTTTATGTATTTGAATATTTTTACTGGTTAATAACACAATTTTGTTACCATGGTAATCAAAATTAAAATACATTATACATTGGTAGCCTTAGCTCTGCAGATTTGTCCCACTTTGATTTTAGAATAGTCCATTTAAAGTGGAAGGGATTTTGATAATGAAATATGAAAATTGAGCTACCAACAGTATAGAGCCTGGTTTTTACTGACCCTATACTGTTGGCAAAGGCTAATGACTTGCAGTTTTAGCAGGTTAAAGGTTAAATGAGAAAAAACGTGGTTGGAAACTTTTGATTATTTGAAAATCTCCTGTAAAATATAACACTATTCAATTGTGGAATACCATTTTTATGCAAATCACCCGGGAATGAATTGAAAAATAAGAAATTGATAATGAACATTAATTGATAAATGATAATGAATGATAAAAATTGATAAATGATTGATATTGAATGACATATTATATAAATAAATCAATTAAATTCTATTGTTTTTCATTGCCATTATAATTGCTTTTTATAATTCAACTAAGGACTGATGATATATTTGTGCCATGTAGCCATATTTACGATTGATTATGTTGCTTTACAGGGGTCTTATTCTCGCCTGACCTTGAGGTTAAACCTTTACGTTGGTGGATATGTGAACATAGCCCATATCCAGGAAAAGATAGGCACAGCCAAGGGTTTTGTGGGATGTATTGAACAGGTCATCGTCAATGGTTACAAGTTTGACCTCAGAAAGGCGGAACTTGTTGGAGATGCTCAATTCGGTGCTAATGTTGGTATGTTCATGTTTTTCTCATAGAATATTTTGTTATACGTGTGCTGCTTCTACGGTATTGCACGGCCGTGCATATATTTTGATGTTATGTCATTTGAGTTATACAACCGTAGAGTACAGAGATGCTATATGTATGCATTACATTATAAGTGTACTTGTCAATGAAGAATGACTTTATTTTACTGTAAAGTTATAATATTTATAAAAAATTGTTATTGATACTAAGTGGTTGTCCTTTACAGAGAATCATTAACAATCAATGTGGTGCTTGTTAAAAAAAAAAAAATTGTTGACAGAGGCCATATTTTTTATATTCCATCATAATTCTTTACACATTGGGTTGACCATTTTAAGTTTGATGTCACTGTATTTTATAAAATATTTCATTATTTAATTTTTTTTATTTTTACACATTGAATATTACAGGTGAATGTAGTGAAGGCCTATGTGAAAATGTTGTCTGCCAAAATGGCGGGAAATGTCAGGTGAAGTCTGCAGACAGCCATGTTTGTCTGTGCCCTCTTGGAAGTGGAGGTGAAAGCTGTCAGCATGGTGAGTATACATGTACAATCAATACATTCTTGGTAAATCCTTCATTCCTCAGAGGGCTTCCGAGGCCGAACACTTGACATTCCTAACTGCCAATCATTTGTCCCTCGCCCCCAAGGTTAGGATCAGTCCTGGGATTTTGATTTCTTTTATTTAGAAGGAAGTTATTTTATAATAAGCCAGCTTACAGAACGTCTGTGCTTCGGATAAGGTGTCATTCATGCCTAGAATAATTGCTGGTTAGTCTATGCATAAAAACATTTCTTTTCAAATTTGTAAAATAACACTCATTATGGCAAGACATTTTATATTTCCCCCTTCATTCGAGTAAAAATGACATTATGTCCATAAAAAGGTAAATATTGAGTCAGGTGAAAGTCAAAATAAGTTAACATTCGGCCATAATTCCTTTCAATATTATAATCTACTTTACAACAATGATGAATAACTCAAAGGCCCCAGAAGGTAATTTCTGTAAATATCTGTTGAAATTAACTGTTTTCCAGATTTAATTCAGGACACGTACTTAAACAGTAAATCCTGCAAGTAAAGGTAGAAACCACAAAATATTGATTATTAAGTAGTACATGTATTTGTTTAATTATAAAAGTATCTCATTAGGAAAGATTTTTTTTTCTTGACCCACATTTTAAAAACTTAACAATTTACTGCTGACTTAGCAGAAATAATGAATTTTTCAGTCTAGACCAAAAAAAGGCTGTAGACTGTCTTAGATTGTCTGTTTAATATTCAGACATTATGTTCCTAAGTCTGCTAAGACAACTAGTGTATAGTAATGAATAATAAAATGAACCAGTCCTTGTAAAAAGGATATATGAAAAGGTGGAAAAAGGTGCAGTCTACGAGTTTATCCAAAAATGTGTTTTCCTTTGTTTAAAAGTAGGGGAAACTATATTCAGAATGGCTTTTGGGACATGATTTTAGGTCACTATCAAGAACCAATGACTTTAGCATGGACCTTTTACCTGACTATGAACTTTAGATTTTTCATCATATCCTAAAACTCGGAAACTATTATTTTGAAACCTCACACATGGCTAAAGTGTTAGAATTGTAGGTTATTTGCATGACCAATGTAGCATGGATTTAAAGTGAAGTATTCCCTTGTGAGTATATCGCTCTTAGTTTTACCAAGCACTGGGAAGTGCTGTTAAGTGTGCTGTACAGTGACAGTTTTTGTGGTGTAATATAGGATATCTTTGATGCTAAAGAATACATGGACATATATTTAGTTCTTCATGAAGAGCCTTTTATACTTTTTATGGAAGGCGGGAAAAGTGTATTTATTTGTTAAGTTTTTGTATGTAAGCTGGTATCTCCATAACTACTGAAGGGAATGGATTGAAACTTCACACACTTGTTCTCTGTGATTTTCTAAGATGATTGGCACAAGTCCCATAACTCTGATTTGCTTTTTTACATAATTATGCCCCTTTTTCGACTTAGAAATTCTTGGTTAAGTTTTTGTATGTAAGCTGGTATCTCAATAACTACTGAAGGGAATGGATTGAAACTTCACACACTTGTTGTCTGTGATTATCTAAGATGATTGACACAAGTCCTATAACTCTTGATTTGCTTTTTTACATAGTTATGCCCCTTTTTCGACTTAGAAATTCTTGGTTAAGTTTTTGCGTGTAAGCTGGTATCTCCATAAGTACTGAAGGGAATGGATTGAAACTTCACACACTTGTTCTCTGTGATTATTTAAGATGATTGGCACAAGTCCCATAACTCTGATTTGCTTTTTTACATAATTATGCCCCTTTTTCGACTTGGAAATTCTTGGTTAAGTTTTTGCGTGTAAGCTGGTATCTCTATAACTACTGAAGGGAATGGATTGAAACTTCACACACTTGTTCTCTGTGATTATCTAAGATGATTGGCACAATTCCCATAACTCTGATTTGCTTTTTTACATAATGATGCCCCTTTTTCGACTTAGAAATTCTTGGTTAAGTTTTTGCGTGTAAGCTTGCATCTCCATAACTACTGTAGGGAATGTATTGAAACTTGAAGGGTTTGTACCTTTTTGGACAATTTTATGTATTCATAAAGGTAAGCATTATTATATTCAATGAAACACCCTTGTGACAAATTTCCGAATAGTCGAGCGTTACTGTCCTCCGACAGTTCTTGTTCATAAAAGGTCTTTCTTAAAAATAATTTTATTGTTAATGATACCTTATTTTTAATCATTTTTCAGTGATAGATGTTCATATACCAGAATTTCAAGGTCACTCATATCTTGAGTTTGAAGGTCTAGGTCGATCAGCTCTTCTCTTCCTGGAGATAGAAATAGTCCTTAAAGCAACAAAAGCAGACGGATTGATATTATACAATGGCTATACATTGGACAGAATGGGAGATTTTATATCCCTAGCTTTACATGATGGCTACCTTGAATTTAGGTTTGACCTTGGCACTGGACCTGCTATTATAAGGTAATTACTTTAATTTGATTCTTATGTTTGAAGTGTTGATTAAATTCTTAAGAATCTGCTGATTGAATTAAACTTTTTTACATTCTTAAAAAAGGAAGCAATTTTTTCCTCTTAAAAATAAAAGTATATTGATTGTTACCTTTTTATTTCTATGCAACTTTAAATAAAATGTAACAGATCAAAAGCTCATACATGTATCACTTTTATATCACCCTCTTGAATCTTGTACATGGTAACAGGTCTGAAGATCGCATCACTCTGAATAACTGGCACTGGGTGAAGGTGTCTCGTACTGGTATGGAAGGTATATTGGAGATAGATCATCGTATTGGAGCCATTGGTCAGTCACAGGGTGCTTTCACTCAACTCACTGTGACACAAAGCATGTTCATTGGTGGACACAGAAATTTTGATGAAACATCACGCCTTGCTAATGTTTCTATGCCTTTCGATGGATGTATCCAAAAGGTAAACTCTGTTCAGTTAAACTTTTAAATGAAGAATCATAAAATGGATAGTGAAAACCTTTGATCAACATATCTTTTACCTGCTGAATTTATGTAATCTATTTGCCCAGCTTTGAATTTGGAACAGTCCATTCAAAGTTTAATGGATTTTGATTTCCAAAATATAAAAATTGAGCTACTTCTTGGTATAATGCCTGGCCAGACTGCACAAACTAACTGATAAACTTACCTCTGTACTGGTAGCAAAGGCTAATCACTTTATCTTCCAGGAGGTTAGGAGGTTGAAAAACAAATAATGTGGGCATTTTATCTTTCCATTTGAAGCAAAATTATTCTTTGAGAAATTGTAATATCAACAAAGGGCACCTTCTTCCATTTCCAAGGGTAGTTTTTATCTGCAGATTTAAAAGACAAGTTAAATAGATTATTCATGGATTTTCCAAGCTCTTTCTTTTGAATTGAAACTGTTCATCCAATCTTACTGCTGAACTTAAAGAGCACATTCAATCTTGAATGATTGATTGATGATGATTGATTACTGATGACTGATAGAAAAGCACATGGAGGAACACTAAAAATAGTATACTTGTACATGTAATTTAAAAGATTGATTACATCTGGAATCTTGGGCTAGAAAGTTCGAAAGTTTCATTAGTGAAACATTTATGCATTTTTGTAGATAAGACAAGAAATTTTAAACATTTTGTTATGCGCTTAGTTCATATTGTCAAGAATGGGGACTAAGATCATTTTTACATGTACATTTTTGTTGCTGATTGCCAGAAATTTAGACTTAAGTCATTTTTTCAATAAAGTAAATTATGAGCCGCGTCATGACAAAACCAACATAGTGGGTTTGCGACCAGCATGGATCCAGACCAGCCTGCGCCTCCGCGCAGTCTGATCAGGATCCATGCTGTTCGCTATCAGTTTTTCTACTTTTAATAGGGTTTGTAAGCGAAACAGCATGGATCCTGATCAGACTGCTCAGATGCGCAGGCTGGTCTGGATCCATGCTGGTCGCAATCGCATTACGTTGGTTTTGTCTTGACGCGGCTCAATTTATATAGATCAGTGTCTGGAATTGAGACCATGGTATTAATGTTTTCTTTTTATAGCCAGTATAAGAAGGTTAAGTAGAAAACAAATTGATATTGAATGCCTCCAGGATTGTTCTGCAAGTAAAATTACTAGAAAATAACAACATGACTATTAAGGAAGTGTCACTTGGGTAATGAGATAACATGTGTTTTGTGCTACTGCTGCTGTAAATACAGGATTTTGTCAATAAGATATTTTCTGTATTACTAACTGTATATCACTCATTGTAAAATCTTGAATAAAATTTTGTTTGTTTTCCGCTGATACAAAATATCTTACATCAGCATGAAATTTTTCCTGTTTTGTACTCATGCTCTGTGTCTTGCGTATGAAGTATAGTTGAAATTTCACTCAATTTTTAGTGAGATATATTAAAAATTTTCATGTATATCAACGGCAAAGTAAAATTTATAATGTATTTGTTTCCCTTAATGATAATACTGAAAAATCATTATTATTAGCAACTAACTTAAGATTCAATAAAATTTAATTTTGTTTGCTGTACGATAATTTATATTACATTATTTGCATTTTACTTTTTGCAAAAAACAGAAAATTTGGGAACTTAATATACCATGAAAATGTCCTTTTTGACAAAACCACTAAATTTCATGCACATCAAATTTAGTGAATGCACAGTAGTATTAATCTGTTGTTGATTTTTCAGCTTTTAATAAACAATCGACCAGTTGACCTGTTACATGACGCTCTGTCTGGTGTCAACATAGAAAGCTGCGAACATCCATGTGTCGGAAAGCCGTGTTTGAATGGCGGAGAGTGTGTACCGAGGAAAGATGTATACTTGTGCTACTGTCCCCTTGGATTCTCCGGAAACAACTGCCATGAAAGTACGAGCGCACTTATATAACATGTATTACACAAAATATAAATTACTGTATAAGTCAATATTTCCGCGCGTCAAAAAGTTAGCGAATTTAAAATTCCAGACATTTGGCATGAGGAAATATAAGCAAATCATGTAAGGGTAGAATTTAATGGAAGCTTGGTTGATATCAATGTCAATTTGTGTACTTCGCCAATATTTTCACGTCGCTAACTTAACCGCATATACTTGTACAGTATATATAATGTTTTTACAATGTATTTATATATGACCTAATATAATACGATGAGGATTAAGTATTTCAGGCTCTTTTTTGGCCAAAATGTTTTATGAATCTTACAGAATCATGTGCCTACACAGTTTTACTGCTGCCACTATAGATAGTACATTACCATATCACCATTATAGACTTTGTGTGTCTATAAAATGCAACTACAGAAATAATTCATATGGAACTATCTTAAGAAAATGTAATTTTTACACAAAATCCATAGATTTCAGAAATGGTAAGATGAAGACCGTCTGCTCGCATATCCATACATTAAAATACCAATCCTTTGTGTCATCTAGATGCATATCACATATTATAGATGGCATTATTTGTGATTTATTGTCACATTATATAGATATGTAAAAGATGTATCGAGATATTGTCGTCTGCAAATATAAAACGCAGATCGTTTAAAGATAAAGCAGCAAGGTCATCAAAGTAAGATAAGGGAATTATTCAAAGAGAGGAAATAAATTTCAGACTTATCTAAAGTTCTTACAATATGGTCTCTGTGTAAATTACTGTTATCTAATTTGCTAAAACAGTAAAGGAAATTAGAGTATTTCTTTGAGATTGCATAGAATTTTTTTACGTAAATTATATTTATTTGATAAACAAATTTGGCGACAGGGATATTTTGTAGAAAGGAAATTCTATTTAAAGCTTTCTTTTGAGAATAATTGGTAAATTGTTTCTATTTGAGTTACAAATGTAGTGTAAGGAAAAACAGAATAAGAAAATTCTTTCTTCTGTACAACTTTGTGTGCTCGCTGTTAATTATTATTCCCAAACCAGATAAATGTGGAGGGGACTACATGTATATTGGATCCTTTTTGTAGTGTTTGTTGGGCCAGCTGTCCTGACCAGTCTGAGTTGTTCGCTGTAAAATCCTCTACATGTTTTGAAGACTCATCTTCAAACATAGCTAACTAATACTGCTGATGTTCAGACATAAGGTCAAGGTCACCATTGAATGTCAGACCATTTTGTGTCCGCACTATAAATCCTTTACCCCATTCAAGGATTTTCTTCAATTTTTTCAAATGTTCACATATCACCAAGGTGATGTGCAGAACCCAATACCTGGTTGTGCTGCCTCAAATTCAAGGTCACATTCTCAAAAATAATGATAAATAGACTACAATAAATCTTAAAGATGCCATAAGGATGGTGGGGGTATTCCTCACTCCTGTTTAGTTCCGTTCAAATACATGTGAACTTTTTTCGATGATCAATTGGGAGATTTTTCTTCCAAAAGAGGGAGATTTTAGAATTTGCAATAAACAAAGAAGAAGGATCTGACATCAAAAAGAGGTAGATTTCTTTAATTTGTGAAAATACCCCTTATTTTAAGAAAAATCTTTGAAAATATGGCTGCAGAAAGTGGGAGTCTCCCTCTTAAAGTGGGAGAGTTCACATATATGCAATCAGCCTTAAGAAAAGGGCATCCAAAAAGTTCAGTTTTATTGCAAAGATTCTTTTGAAAATACCTCTGCAGTAATGTACACAAACTGTAAATATCAGTTGCTGTTACAGATATTGATCTTACACATTATTTCACTAAAACATCCCACATTTATTTTTGTAGATATAGAAAAAGACATGACTAGACCAAAGTTTTCATCGGAAAGCTATTTGATATACAAGCAAAAAGAAGTTGCAAGAAAGTAAGTTAGCAAATTGTTTCTTTTTTTTAGCTCATATTGTTACAGTACATTGTGAATTTTCTTTGAACATAATGTAGAACATATAGAGGTCCCTTGTGGCTGAAGAGTTGCCTTTAAGGGTTGAGGCATTATAATTGCAGCCACCATTTATCCTTGCATGATGGTAGGAGGCGACTAAATGAGTTTGAATTACTGGAGTCTATGTATCTCTTAGCTCCAGCAGGTGAGATGGTTTTGACCCCTGGTGTAAATTTTGTAACACCTGAGGTTAAACCAATATCATCGTTCCTGTTTCAGCACCATATTGACCTAAATTGTGTTGGTGGGCTATTAGACCAAATACACAAACAAAGTCATTCAGAGATTGGTTACCAGTATGTTTGATGAAAGATTGAATATGAACATACATGTGAACTCTCCCACTTTTAGAGGGAGACTCCCACTTTCTGTAGCCATATTTTCAAAGATTTTTCTGAAAATAAGGGGTATTTTCACAAATTAAAGAAATCTCCCTCTTTTAGATGTCAAAACTTTCTTCTTTGTTTATTGCAAATTCTAAAATCTCCCTCTTTTTGAAGAAAAATCTCCCACTTGATGATCCAAAAAAGTTCACATGTATGTATGAAGATTTCTTTTATTCTACTTGGCTTTCTGTACATTGGCGATGTTGACTTGCCTTTGCTACCAGTCTACAACTATGTCCTCATGACATGTTTCAGGTTGATCATACTGAATATTGATGGCTGTTAAAGCTTAAGATTTTGACTTTGAAATTCCTTAGATAAACAGTTGTCAATGCCAAATTAAAATCATGCCTAGTTCAATATACATGTACATAAATTTATCATGTTGAACTTTAAGTAGATTACCATGATTTCAAGTCTGTATTATGATTGAAAATAAATGAATTTTTAAGCCTGCGAGGATATGTTTTACATGATACAATGTAATTTCCAAATTCTGAAACTTCAAAAATCCGGAAATCTAAACATTTTTCAGGATCCCGCAACCTTTCCTTCTGATTACTATGCAATTATTTCCTGAACCTCTGACATATGGAAATTGTAAATTCCAAACGCTTTTCTGGAAAAATTAGGGATTTATCAATTCTTCCAAAATTCGGAAATTGAAAAAGGTGTGAAGGAATATTTTAATTGAGATTTTAAAACCCTCAAAATGTCAGTATCTTTCAAGTAGCTATTTGAATAAAAATCCCTCAAGCATGTCAAACCCTTAATAAAAAAGTGTGAAAAATAAGAAAGTGATAACTAACATAATGCTATTGTGTTAAAAAGTCATGGGTAAATAATGAAATTTATTAAATTTTTATTTTTTTGCAATTTTATTAATTTTATCCGGTTCATATATTAAACGAATTTTATCAGTTTCATATATTTTTCATCATGTCCTGCTTAAACAATGTTTGATGTATCTAATTATTCAAATAATTCTGAACTTCTGAATTCTGGAAACTTCCAATTCCAAATTTTTTTACTAGTCCCACAAGGGTTCGGTTTTTGGAAGTTACACTGTTAATAATTTGTTATTTAATTTTGACAGAATTGGTGGAGACAACATTGATATAAAGTTTTCAGTAAAGCCTACATCAACAAACGGTCTCTTGTTTTGGTGTGGTCCAGATGTAATGCAAGCAACCAGTGATTATATAGCTCTGGGTTTTAAAGATGGAGCTCTGCAGTTCCGATATAATCTTGGTAGTGGAGAAGCTGTGATTGAACTTAATAATTCCAGATTGTTTGATGGAAAATGGCATAATGTTCATGCTCAAAGGTATAGGAACTTCTTCAATTTCAATTCTTTAGGAATAGTTGGTTTTTTTTTTGCTAATGTTTTGTTTATGCCACCAATAAAGAGCCAGGTTATTGTGCAAATCCATACTGTCTGACTAGACTGTGTTCTGATGGACTCTCAATTTTATTTAAAAAGGCTCAACTTTGCAAATTCTGCAGGGTATAAACATTTACGTATTATAGGCTTTTTTTAGCTCACCTGTCACAAAGTGACAGGGTGAGCTTTTGTGGGCGTCCGTCCGTCCGTAAACTTTTACTTCAAATGACATCTCCTCATAAACCACTAAGCCAATTTCATCCAAACTTCACAGGAATGTTCCTTTGGTGGTAACCTTTAAAAATTGTTCAAAGAATTTAATTCCATGCAGAACTCTGGTTGCCATGGCAACCGAAAGAAAAAACTTTAAATATCTTCTTTAAAAAAAACCTAAGAGCTAGAGCTTAGATATTTGGCATGAAACATCTTCTAGTGAGTGTCTACCAAGTTTGTTCAAATAAAAGCCCTGGGGTCAAAATTGGCCCCGCCCCAGGGGGTCATTGATTTTCCCTATATGCACATAGTAAAAACTTAAAAAATCTTCTTTTAAAGAACTCAAAGAGCTAGAGCTAAGATATTAAGCATGAAACATGTTCTAATGGGTGTCTACCAAGTTTGTTCAAATAAAAGCCCTGGGGTCAAAATTGGCCCCGCCCCAGGGGGTCATTGATTTTCCTTATATGTATATAGCAAAAACTTAAAAAATCTTCTTTGAAAAAACCCAAATAGCTACAGTTTAGATATTAAGCATGAAACATCTTCTAGTGAGTGTCTACAAAGTTTGTTCAAATAAAAGCCCTGGGGTCAAAATTGGCCCCGCCCCGGGGGTCATTGATTTTCCTTATATGTGTATAGCAAAAACTTAAAACTCTTCTGTGAAAAAACCGAAATAGCTAGAGTTTAGATATTAAGCATGAAACATCTTCTAGTTAGTGTCTACAAAGTTTGTTCAAATAAAAGCCCTGGGGTCAAAACTGGCATCGCCCTAGTGGTGTCATTGTTTTTAACTATATGTGTATAGTAAAAACTTTAAAAATCTTCTTTGAAAAAACCCAATGAGCTCAGAGCTTAGATGTTTAGCATGAAACATCTTCTTATGAGTGTCTACCAAGTTTGTTCAAATAAAAGCCCTTGGACTAAAATTGGCCCTGCCAGGGGGGGGGGGGGGGCCTATATACAGGTGAGCGACCTCAGGGCCATCATGGCCCTCTTGTTTTTCTAATTTTTATTCTGTACCATGCTCTATACATACCATTGTAATCCAATCATAGACTGTATTTTCTGTGTAATACAAACTATAATATAAATTGGGAGAAATATGAAGTAAATTATTTTTCTTGTTTCATTACTGACCACTAAGTAAAGGTCATGCGATTTAACGCTGCATGCGTCCAGATGAGCCAAAATATTTGTAGGAAATCAATTTTTAGAAAATTGTACTAAGATTTTAAGAAAAATAATAAGATTTAAGATCTAATTAATAATTTACATGTGCATTTAATTATATACATGTACATTTTCAAAATTTTCATGAACATTAGCATGAAGCTGGATACATGTTGCTTTAACCCATTAATGCTGTAGAATACTCAAACATTTTATTGAATTATAAACAGTACGAGGACCGTTATAATACACTTCTAAGTCTTCTATGTAATTTCTTCTCAAAATGAAAATTCTTTTATTTTGGAAGCAGTACAAATGTGATACAATTTTAACCTCTGTATACAGACATGCTGTATGATGATCACTACATAATGGCATTGCAATCATACCAAAAATGGTAAAACAGTGCTATCACATTTCCATTTCTGATCTTTTTCTCCCTCTCTCTGTTTCTCTCTGGAAATTACATTTTATGTCTCAGTGAAAAATATTTTAATGGCACATCTGCTGCGCTGCCATGCATTCATGCATTGTTTTGAATGATGATCGATGCTGACAATTGGAATTGTTTAAAATCTCTTATTTTGTTTCCCTGCCAGCAGACGTAGTTTACGCAGACATCAATTTTAAGAATTCCTTTCACATTAACACAATAGGAATTGTTGAAAGTCATTAAATTTTCAAGCGTTGCACTGTGGGTGAGGTTGAACTATAAAAGGGAGATGTACAGATATTGACGTCTGCTGGTGTTGAACAACAAAAAGTTAAGCTCGTATTACTACTGATATGATCTGCTCTTTCTTGTTGCTTTTTGTTTGATTGAAATAGCTTGATGTTTTTACTTGAAAAATGATTCAATGATTCAAGTCCCATGGGAATTATTTGCGAATCAGCTGCAAAGAAATGTACATATTTGTCATCAATATATAAATCATTTATAAGGTGCTTGCATGTATTCTAAATATGGTATTGATAGATTTTACCAGTATATAATTCTATACATGTATATAGAATGAGTCAATTTTAATGGTAAGAAAAGACTCGCAATGTAAGCTTTTTGGTATTTTTTAACCCTTAGCCTATTAGCAACCAAATCTACCCATGTGACCTGAGCAAACTAAGATTACAATCATGGTTAACAATCTGATCATGGTCTGCACTGTTAGCCAGTCAGTCAATACATATTTCGTAATTGTCCCTAAAATTGGCTTAAAATGATAAATGGTTCTGTCAGGAATGGAAGATGGACAAGTCCATTTAATTGCAGGGTTAGGGTTAAAGAAATAATGACAATTTTCAGTCACAGTCTGTTTTGAAACTATTCCTTATTCAAAAACAAGACATGTCTGTTAAAAGAAGGTTGATGTCATAGTTTTTATTAAAGCAGGCTTTGATTTAGTAATGTATAATGTTGAAATATTTTCTGTTTTCAGAGATAAACAAAATGGCTTTTTGTCTATTGATGGAAGAGACATAGTTGAGGGAAAATCAAAGGGCAGCTATACCATGTTAAATACAAATAAAATACTTTATATAGGTAAATTATATTTGTATACTTGCTTAATTTTTCTATGGTTACAGAAACATTAAATACAAATAAAATACTTTATATAGGTATAAATTGCTTGTATATTTGCCTAATTTTTCTATGGTTACTGAAACATTAACTTTTAAAGCTTCAGGGCCTCTATGGTCATATAGTTATAGTCATTGACATAGAACCTTTTGCCCTGCCCTTGCAGCGGATTCAAAACCCATAAAGGGTCATTGAAATGTGTTCATGTCATCCAGCTAGCTTATAGAGGGTTGGTATTTCTACTGTTGGGTTGCTGGTGTGCCTGAAATTATGCACAAAGGGGCACTGGAGGTCTTTCCTCACCTGTAAAACTGGAAAATCACAATGTGACCTTTATAGTGCTGTTTTCATTTAAAACCAAACCCAAAAAGCAAAATTAAAGCTTTACTATCTACAGTAGAGTTGGGTTGTGAGAGAATTTTTGCATAAAGGATAATCTTTTTTGTCCTTTCACAATAAAAAAACAAAAGCTTAACAGTGGTGACAAATTAACAGTTTCAAAATTCAAAGCAGTGCAATGGTTAATGATTAGTGAACTGTCTTTTTAATCATTGAATTCTTATTGTAGATTATTATAATCTTATTATGAGTCATTTCTTTTTAGGTGGCATGCCAGATGTATCACAAGGGACGTTACGCAAGTTTAGTTCAGGTTACAGTGGCTGCATTCAGGAAATGGTCCTAGATAACGATTTCTCCTTATCACTCCTTCAGTCCGCAGACAGTGGTAGAAATATTGTACCTTGCTCATAATAGCAATTGCCAGATTTGACGTAAATAGTGATAACTTACTAAACTCTATTGAAGTGACTTATATATACTTATCAGAGATACTTATGTGCAACATTATTTACAGTCTGATTTAAAAAAAACAACAACAAAAAACAGATGTTGACACAAGAGTTAAGCTCATAGTGTAAGGTCTGGAAACAGTGATTTCAGGCCTGTAATGAGTGCTTTTAGAGCACGGAAAAGTGCTTTTAGTAAGGCCTGTAAAGAGTCTTTTAAAAGCTAGGAAAATGCTTTAAAGCATAAAAATAGTGCTTGCGGCAATGAAACAGTGCTTTAATGCCTGAAAACTGTGCTTTATGGCATTGAATCATTGCTAAAAGGTGCTGAAAAGGTGCCCTAAAAATCTGCTTTAAAGCATAGAAACAGTGCTCTTAAGCATCCAAACAGTATTTTAAGGCCTGATAGTTTTCAGGCATTGAAACCGTGCTTTAAGGCCTGGACTGTTAAGGCTTTGAAACTGTACTTTAAGGCCTTGAATCAGTGCTTTGAGGCCTGGAAACTGCATTTTAAGGCATGGAAATAGAGTTTTTAGCTCTTGTAACAGGTTACTGATGAAACAGTTGTATAGTTCTGAGAAAGAATTGTCTCTGTCATGCCATTTAACAAATTTTATTTATACATTAATGGCGATGTTTACTAAACATACTTAAGAATTTTCCTCTCTTTTTTGATATTAATAATGAAACAGCGAAATTTTTACGAATGACTGGTCAACATTTGTATGAACTTGATATAATTATGTTGTGCAATATATTATGTGGGACTGTACTATAGCTTTGTAACATGAAGTTTTATTGTTTTGTTGTATGATCTTACTGTTACTTTGTAGTTTAAGGTAGTCTTACTGTAATGCTTTCCTCGAAAAAAATTCTTACATCTGTCAATACTGTAGCAAATCAAAATGTTTTTTTTTTATAGATTATTTACATCATTCATCCTTTATGGCTATGTACTATATTGCGGTTATAAATGTTTAAAGATAATTGAATACCGAAGAGTGTGAAAAATGACGTTCCAGGAATGATCGATTTATTAGGATATTGGCCGATGTAAGAAATTTTGGCGGGAAATCATTACAGATAATCTACCCCTGTAACTATATAATGCTCTATTATGAAATAGAGTTTTCTTAAAATATACATTTCACAATATACACTGTCAAACCAGTTTTATTGTTAAGCAGAAAATAAGTAGAACATACCTTTAGATTTGATTTGAAAAGTTGATTTTCAACACTCACTTTCAAATTATTTTTTTTCTATAAATTACAAAGAAGTGGCAGCAATGGATGTAATTTTTTTTCTTTTCTGAATCTGAAGTCATTGATCTGCCTTAATTTAATTTATGTTCATGGATTTTGTTAAAGATTTGTTAGAGATATAGAGATACTGGACAATTTCTAAGTCTAACACCTTCTTTTATGTAAAATGTCAGTTCTTGTGTTTTGACTGTGTAAGACTATAAATTTGTCAGCCTTACTTGCCATCAGTACATTTGCTTACTCCTGCGAATATTTGAAATGTGTCATTTTTTTTTTTTTGAAAATATGTGAAAATATGATTATGATGAATTACTTATATGTAGGATTGTATGTTGGCATGTGTATATGAAATATATAATAAGTTCGTTAAGGCTTTATGTTGTTATAATTTTAAGGATGTTTTTTTTTCGAACATAGAAATGAATGTCCTTATAGACAGATTAAATTATTTATTATTTAAGTGGAATTATTGTACCAAATGGTACAGATTGCTTGTAACCAGTTTATAGTTTACAATAAATTATATTTGCGTAAAGTTACTATGTAACTTTTTTTTTAAAATTTATGATAAGAAGATGTCTAACTTATTGAAGATGTCTAACTTATTGAAGATCAGTAATTCAATATAAGTGCTTGCTTGTAAATGAAGTAATGCAACAAAATTGCATTTTGGGTATTTGACAACAACAAGATCTTTAAAGTTATCTTATAACAACAACAACAACAACAACAACAATAATAATAATAATAAAGTCTTTATTTAAAGAGGCTACACAGTTGCAACAAAGGCAATCTACTCTGTGGGCCTCAACAGGGTAGATTAACAACTACAGTATCTTTCTTATGTGTTTCTTTATGATAAGAAAAAGCAGTTAAAAGCAAGTAATTTGTTGTGACAATATAAGATATGGAAATGTGGTCTTTAAGGGCAGGTCATCTTTTAATTAAAGGCAGTTGTGCTTTAAATGGTTTGATTCGAAATATAAAACGATGGCCTTTCTAGATGATCTTTAACACAAATTTTTCTGTAAACCAAATGATGAATGTTGGAATAACCTTTACAGTTTACAGTATACCAAAGACTTTCTCTAGAAAATCTCTTATGTTTGAAAGTTCAAGTAATTATTACACTGTATAATAATGTATAACATGTGATGAATTTTGTAGTGTATGTATTTCGTACAGTGATGAAATGTTTGTGCCATAATCTTTGATTTTTATTTTGTGATTTAAAATTGTATAAAGTATATTAGTATTTGACATACTAGAAATAACATGTGCTATGTTCTTGTAATTTTTTCTAATTGTGCATATAACAGGTTCTGATATCAAGGGGGTCTCCAATGGGTATAGATCTGTCATGTCACCTTAGTGCAATAACTGGTCAACTCCTGTTAAATTTAGGACTTAACCCCTTTCTGCATTAAGATGGCAATCACTTGTCTCTCAATGTTATGGGTTCAAATTCCCTTACATTTTGAATTCTTTCATGTAAAAAAGCTATCCGGATAGCCTACAGAAGGTTGGTGGTTCTCATAAGGTGCCTGCTTGGGCCTTAAATAATGCATATAGGGGTACCTAAGGTCATGGTTCAACTGTACAGGCCGTAAAGTGGTCATATCATTGTAAGAGTATGACTTGAAAAACAAACAAATAAATTAAAATGTTCAGATTTAGATGTAATGCCAAGTCCTGGATTAACCCTCCCATCATATCATTGGTGCTTTTATTGATGATAGTGACGACTTTTATTATTATATCTACATTGTTATTAATATATAATACAATATTGTCACAGGTTTTTGTACAGATTCTTATTCAAATTTTTTTTATTGATCTGTAAATGTACTGGAACATTCTCTTGCTAAACACATCACATGTTAAGTATACTGTGTTTTTTTGTTTCAGAAGGAGGTGTTTATAAACTTCCCTTCTACAGTCTAACTTGCCCATGCGACCACATGTATTAAGCGACTTTTGTCTTAAACGACCACTTTAAATTCCCCCCGATCATTTTCTCTCTATATCCTTAATGTATTAAGCGACTTTTGCTCAACGCGACCAGCGACCGCTAATTAGTCACCTAATTGAGATCAATCTTTTCATTAAACGACCACTTTTACCTGTCAAGTAATTGTGTTTTTAGAGAACGCCACCTCGTAATGTCACAAGTGTCAACAATCAAAACACAACAAATAAACGTGTGAAAAACTCTATTTCCCAAACCGTTTTAGCGTATGCAAATGAAGTTAAGTATACCCGTGACGTGTATTATCCAATAATATCGGATAAACAATGCAACGCTCCGCCCCTACTGAGATGGTGTACACGCTTCGCTTGTTGACATTTAGACTGCATTGAATTGACCTTGAACTTGATCAGCAATTAAATTAATCGTAACAATTAGATGTAGTTTGTTTATTTCAAATGAAAAAATGCACAACAGAAAACATCTTCACTAATAGGGTTTTCGTGTTGCAGACAAGGAAAAACAACGGAGAAGTTAAAAAACTCTGGAAAAAATGTCAAATATGTACGTAATTTGTCAATAAATATCAGAAAGTTATTTTTTACGTTTGCATCCATTTAGATTATCGTAGCGTACTAATTATTTAACATTTATATAAAAATGAAGTTGAAAAACATTACCACTTCATAAGAAAGATGTCATTTATAAATTTTGACTTTTATATCATGCTGACTGTCTTAAGAGACCGTTTCATTAAGCGACCGTTTTGGGTGTTTCCCTTGCGCGGTCGTTTAATACACGTTTGACTGTATATTAAATGGCAGGCATTCAATGCACACTTGGGAAAAACACATTCCAAATTGTTTCTTCCTAAAACTAGCTTTCTGCATGTTCTTAACTGTGAAACATGGGCAAATTTGTTGTTATTTTGTTAGAAATGTAGTATTTACTGGAGAACAAGACTTTCTGAAACATTAAATTCTTCTCGAACTGTATATTCAGTTTCTACTAATTTCCGTATCATTTTGTTATATGTTCAAAAATTTGATTACAAGCAGGTTATATGTTCAAATAAAATTTATTCCGTCTGCAGAGAAGTTATAAATTCCCATAATTCTTAGAGAAAAGGTGGCAAATTAAGGATAAATATGGTTTATGTAGATGTGCAATTTTCTGTAGATGTTCTGAATGTGGATTTTTATGTTCATGTTTACGGAGAAGTGCAATCTAAGGTTTATTTTTTTGTCTCTCTTCAGATTATTGTTCAAACTGTAATCAACATTGAAAATTCACTTTATGAACATTTTTTACATTTGTGATTTAAGTTAATCAAAAAGTCTTTTTTTTTAATTTTTATTTGATATATACATGTAATTATCTTAATTTATTTTGAAACATTCCTTTGTATTACATTCCAATGTTGAAATGTCATTCATTTGATTTTTTTCTGTATATTTCTGTATATTTATATTTTGAAACTTTTGCTATAATATATAAACAAATGGTGTAAATGTATATCAAGGGACATAATTACATGGAAGACAAAGAAAGTATTGTTTTCCAGATTTGTTTCCCTTTAGACACTTACAAAAAAGTTGATCTTCTTTCACATTTTACCATAGCCTGGGATTCAGGCGTTGATATTTTTTTATTTATTCATAACTTACGCGCTATTTCATACTCGATCGCCATAGATAACACAACATCTCTGGTTTTGATAGTATCAACGCCTGGGGAAACCTGCGGGGTTTCCCATGTAATTATCGACTAAAGATAATCCTATTAATAGACCGATTAGCACGTGACCAACAAATAACATGATTAAATGGAAATCGAGGCGAAGATGATAAATGTTGAAAATTTGACGCCATTTACCATTATAAATTGAGTCCAGCACAATTATCTGATGCTCACACACTTTATCTTCTTTAACTAATCACATCTGTTGATCAAATTCACTTATCATGCAATAAACTTTGTCAACGAGTGTTAGTTTTTAATCGGAAATGGTGTTTTGAAAGGGAGGCTCCGTAACTGTTCGTTGAGCTTCGGATCACTTCGTGGAAATTCCGTTTCTATTTTTAGAAACTAGTTTGTTGTTGCATGAATTATTGTTCTTTAATAACACCTGTAATTTTCGGGGTGTATACTAGGTGGCGCTTCGATCGAAAATTGTATTTCCCCAGGGTGTCGATTTGCCGAACAGAAGCACATAAAAAATCGACAGACTGGAACCCAGGCTAATTTTACCATATCTTCATGCAACTACATAATGTAAGAAAATTATCTAAACTTAGAGACTTTAAACTGAATAATGTTTATGTCAGTTCTCTTGTACCCCTTTAATATGACTGGTTCTGAATAATTCTGGCTTTGAATTTTGACTTTATACTTAATATATAAGCATTACATTATAAACTTCATGACATGTATTTTTAAAAATGAAGTTTCTCCTCTTTAAATTTTTTTATGTATCAGCATATCGATAGTATGTAAATAAACACTTGATTAGCGTATTTTTTCATAAGCGAAAAATAAACCTTGCCACTAGTCTTAAACATGCTTTAGATATTGTATACATAATCACTTATATGTACATACAAGATATAAGAGTTCAATAGTTTATAGATACATTTTCTAATCTTTTAAAATATTTTCATTTTCCTATTTATATATTTTGTCTAATTAAATAAAAAATGGCAAACATACGTTTAATAGAAATGTCAACGAAATAGTCAACATACAACGTTAATCACCCCATCTGCATTCAAGTTGCTTAAAGCTGCATGCCTCCAGATGAGCCAAAATATTTTAAGAAACTCATTCTTGAATAAAATGTATTATTATTTTAGGAAAAGTAAAAATATTCAAAATTAAAGAAATAATTTGAGCCGCGTCACAACAAAACCAACATAATGCGCAGTCTGATCAGGATCCATGCTGTTCGCTTTAAGTTTCTCTACTCGTTATAGGGTTTGTAAGCGGACAGCATGGATCCTGATCAGACTGTGAGAATGCGCAGGCTGGTCTGGATCCATGCTGGTCGCAAACCCATTATGTTGGTTTTGTCGTGACACGGCTCTTTTACACGTTACATGCAATTAATGACTGATTTTGCAATATTTATCACCCCATTTCTACTGTGTGACTAACACATGAAGGGCTATTTTTGCATATTCTAACCTATTTTTGGAAATAATCATAGATTTTAAGTGTCGTTTACAATGTATAAATTACTTTCTTTGTTCACCTGACAATACCTTTAAAAAAATTACATACTAAAATTTCATGAAAAATCAGCATGAAGCT